GATATTTAAATACTATGGTCAAAAGCTCTATAGTTTTTTTTTTTTATTGTCGTTGGTAAAACATATAATGCAATGCAATACAATGATGATTGAAAGTATAATAAACATTCCTCAACCGTAATTCAACCATAATTTATTAAGCTACGAGAATACTTTTTGTGCAGAAAGAAAACAAAAACAACGACTTTATTCAACAATTCTTCTCTTCCGCTACAGAATTTTCATTTTTGGGTGAACAATCCCTTTAATGAGATGGCAGAAGGCATGTAGTAGATTGTATACAACAGGTTTTTTGATCATGTTGATAATTTAGAAGCTGTAGGAATTTGTTTATCAAATATGATACTGTAGGCTTTATAAGGTTAAGTTTAGTGTTCTCTTTATGCTCCTACAGGTGAGTTGGATCCGGAGCGGATGGGTTCTGGGATCCAGTACGGCGACGCATCCCTGCGGCAGCTCAGACAGCCCCGGGGTTCTGCTGCACAGGCCAAGCAGCAGTGTAACTGTTAGGGGCCTGGGCACCCTGACCGCTAGCAGACATCAGACCGTACACACACAACCTCCCCCCTCAGGTCAGTTCAGTGTGACTGGGTTATATTAGAGTCTCTTTCTATGACATTTAGAGGAATGTTCTGGGATTACCACAAAAAAAAAAAATATTTCGACATGCTCCGACACAATAATGCGTTTACAGTGGAAACCTATGGGGCGGTATGTTACACCAATGTAATTATTAAAAAACACTATTATGAAAGCATAATTGCAAGATGTAAACTTTGTTCATTAAGTTAATTCACATTACAGTTAAAAGGAAATATAAAGTAATATATAATACTATGGATGCTCCGATCAGGATTTTTGCAGCCGATACTGAGTACCGATTTCTTGTCATGGTGATCGGCCGATACCGATTCTGATGCTTCAAGCTTTATATAGACGGTTTCATCGGGCGCACGTACCTGGCCCGGAGTTAACTTCCGGTCTGTGTTTGTTTATCAGTCTGGCTATGGCGCCGGCTACAAACGCAGTTAAAGTTAAGGTGATGAGCAGACTGAAGTTATTAATCCGCGGATTGGGTAATAAAAAATGCATTCTGATTATTTGCGGGTGGGTCGCGGGTGGATAAAATAAATCATAAATGATGCAAATATTAACTACATTTTTTTTAAATACATTTTTTTCATGAGGCAGACGATTTCGCGTGTGCATGTGTTTATTGCTGCAGTGACAGAAACAGTGGCATTCCAGATAAAGTTTGAAAGGAGTAAAGCCTGTGTTAATGCTATTGAGTAGGCTAATATGGCCAAAGAAGATATTTTGTTTTATAAATAACAGCCCATGATTAGCGTATTATGTTACCGTTATCCCTTACGGCTCCGACGAGGTTTTGTTCCGTCCTCCACGCTGTGACAACTCACAAAAGACTATTTTTTTTAGCCAAGCAGCGCGGAGAGCCGCTTCAGAAACGTGCCGCGGCTGGCTCATAAACACGAGCACTGACTAGATCGGCCGCGATCAGCTCCGGTTCCCATGGAGCCATAACGCGCCGCAGACACGCGTGCAGTGAGGAGCTCTAACGTCACTGAATCTGCTGTTAAAAATGAACCATCTATGCCTATTTATTATATCATTATGCAAAACATATGCGACAAATAGCAAATTTTTCATTGTTTCTCAAAACGTCATAGCATTTCCACACCAGCTATGACAGGACTGTGGCACCAAATAATTTATGTCCCCACGCATCATGTACGTCATCACGCGTTGACGTCATCAAATTGTGATCGGTTCGTGAGATCGGCCAAGTTAGTGAGTACCGATCGAGTCATAAAATGTGATTATCGGCCGATACCGATCTCTGGCCGATCGATCGGAGCATCCCTATATAATACACAAATCATATTTTGCTACAAAGGCGTGCATTTTCTTGATCATAAAAAACTGTAAAATCTGTAATATTGTGAAATACTATTACAAGTTAAAATCAGTGTTTACTATTTTAATATATATTAAACTGTAATTTATTTCTGTGACGCAAAGCTGGATTTTTGTTAACTGTCACACACTCCCATGAGACCATGATATTTTTTTTATGAATAGGAAGTTCAAAAGAACAATTTATTTGAGGGAAAAAAATATTTTGTAATATTATAAATGTCTTTAGTGTTAGTTTTGATCAATTGAATGTGTCCTTTTTTATTTTTAATTTAAAAAATTGTACTGACCCCAAACTTTTTAATGATAATATATCATATTTATTTAATTCAAATTGTCTAGGGTAATTGAGCATACATACACAGATAGAACTAAGTTTTGTTGAAAAGAATAATACCGTTTTTAAATGTTCTTGAACTCTTTCTTTCAGCTCCGGGTGTCTCTGGGTATGCACACCCCTTACCCCTCTCCCAAATGTGACCCTTCCACACCCAGACACATCTGGATCATTTCTTATGATGAAGTCCATCTGCAAACTTTAACCTCCGACCTCAGAAAGCTGTTCACCTAGGACAGATCTGCCTGACTGCTTAGCGAGGGGCACGGGCAGTAGAGGTGAATCACGTCCCGACTGAGAGACTGTGCGTGTTTTTAACTTCTCCTGTGATTCTTACACACACAGTTCCTTCTTATAAAGTAAACAGCCATCATCTAGACTTCACTAGACTGGGATAAGCCATTCAACGACAGCAGTAGATGAAACATTCCTAGGTCTTGAATCATTTTATACGTTGTGACATATCAGTTCTTTGTTGGTGTTAAACTGAACGTCCCCTTGATTTTCTTTTGACATTCCTAAAAATGACAAATAAGCATATGAGTGGTCTGTGTGCTGGTTAGTTGGTCACTTGTAATATGGCCAGAATGCCAAATATTGATCTTCTGAGAGAACGTACAGCCCATATGCACTCAGATATTTACACGGTTGCATTGGTTGTGTATTTAAAGAGCTTCTAAAAGCACAAAGGAGGGGAAGGGGAAAAAGAAACATCCATTCAGATCTTGTCATTCGGTCGGCACTATCTGGTGCATATCAGATGTTTACCGCCGTCTCAGTCTGGCTTGGGTTAGAGGTTATCGTCTAACTTAACCTCACCCGGCTTTCTGCACAGACCTCCTACCTTCAGATTTATTGAAATTAAGGACAATAAATCTACATTTGTTTGGCAGACACATAAAGAAATATCAAATAATAAATTTTTTTGAGATTGGTGGTTTAAAAATGCATTTCACGAAATGCCCACCTCCCATCCCCCCCAAAAAATGCGTACAAAAATAATAGCTTAAATTGAAAATTTTGGAGTCTGCATGGGTGTATCTCCCAAAAACTCAAGAACATGTTTAAATCGTATTTCAACTTGAAATCAGAGATAATATGTTTTCTAAAGAAAATAAAGGTTACTTTAGGACAATTAAGATTTTGGAACCTCCTAAATTTTCACAAAAATAAATGATGCTGATTTTAAAATATTTTATTATTAGATTACAGTGATGCAAATAGGATTTTTAATGCTTAATTTTCAGATAATAAAACGTCTCAATGCATAAACAAATTATTATAGCAAAATTTCTTTGAGACATATCTTTGTGAGATTCAACCCTGTTATTATTGAGTTAAAGTCACGTAAAAAGTGTACACTGTTAGAATGGAAGAATATTTCCGTGCAGCAACCAGCTCAGACCCTTCAGTCTGCAACACGATTAATCTTCCACTGTAGCTGTGGTGTTTAGTCGTGCATATTTTGAGTTCATTTGTCGTTGTTTCGCTCTGGTTACCCATGACGGGGAGATCTAGAGGTGATGAGCGGCGCAGTGCCCCGTTCCATCATTATGCACCACAGACAGACCTGCTTTGATCTGTGTTTTAAATGCTGTCTTTGTGATGTGTGGTTTTTCTTTTTTTCCCCTCTGCAAGTGCACTTTTTTTGACTGTTTATATACTGTACCTAGAGAATTGTAAAATTTATAGTAATTTAATGATATTAAATGAGAGAATATTGTTTGAGGAGTGATCATTCCTTACTAAAGAACAACTGAGATTAGACAAGAACATGCTGTTAGTCGTAAATATGGGGTGGGTGATCGGCTCGCCACGTCTTCTAGTTCAAGCACAGCCTTAACTGACTAACCACATGATTGTTCTACATCATTCAAGAGGCTGCCTCATGCGCTCCTAATCGTCCGAGCTCTTAAAATGTAAAATTTTTGTTTTTTGGACGTTTTTTTTCTTTAATTTTTTTTATCCACCGTGATCTTTTACGAAATTATGTGTTTGAGAGAATTAAACCATTTCTATCGATCAAAATTTTGACTCCAAGGAATATTCCAAGGTAAGCAGATGTTAAGTTAAGCTGCAGTCACACTAGACTCTGTGCGTGCAAAATTTGAACGTATACTGCGATGTTGGTAATATGACGTCACACTCATTTTAAAAACATAATTCAACATATCTAAAACAAAAAAAAAATTGCAATCTATTCCAATTTATTGCAATGCCATCTTCTGGTCAAATGCAGGAATTAATTCGACCTTGACCCTCACAGTGCATTATGGGTATTCTCTAGCCGTTTAGTGTAAATTGTCTGACATTCATTATTGCGGTTTATTATGGAATTGAATGAGTGCACTCGATAATGTCCAATTTGGTTTCAGACTCCACAACAAATGGCTGTCCGCACAAATAGTGGCCTATTTATAAGGGTATACGGGGCGATTTTGGACACAGCCTAGTACATTCTTTCTTTTAATACAGCTAAGAGTTCATGTGTGACACGAGTCTTCTATTGGTCACATGCATTCATGTGATATGAATTTGTAGAGCAGAGTTCAACAAAACTTGAAGCGAAATTCGCATGCACTTGCGTTTTCCGCATTCCACATTTAATGTAGTTTGGCAAATTTTCGCAGGTGAGATCCTGTCAGTTTAATAGGAATTCACGCAATCGTGTCGTTTCACACAAGGGAGAAAGATTTACCCCACGCAGATTTTGCAACGGGTTTAGATTGGTTATGCAGACTTGCCACATTAACAAATCAAAAGCTCAAAGGCACAATATGTAATTTTTGCCGCTGGAGGGCACGTATTCAAAATAAACAAATAGACAAAGGCGTAGTTTGATGACGCCGTGACTGAGTGTGGAATCATGGGAGTTGTCGTCTTCATCTCCACAGTCGATGCAATCCGACGGGACTCGGGCAGAAATCATGTTCATGGATGAGCTAATGATTAATTAACGTAGTAGAATGAAGCAGGGTGAGACGGAAAGCCGTCGAAGCGAAACGAGGTCGCTGAACGAGCGCGACACACGGCTCGAAAGCAGCGGAGCTTTTATTATGCCACAGTCGACCGCTTCCGCTCCTTCCGGTCGTGTGTATGTGGGGGGAAAAAGCAGCGCTGTTTTATCATTCTAGATACATTTGAAAGTTCTGTTATAATGCTACTCTGTGCGGTCGTCACCGGTCTAATAAAACCCACAGTATATTAAAGCGTCTTTGGTGTTTGCATGTTTTCTACAAAACAAAACCGGAAATCGAGGGGTTATGACGGCATTGGCAGGCGACACAATGACACTATAGACACATATAGTGTCACTGGTTAAAATTGCTTATTTCTCTGGATTTAAACATTCTTCGAAACATTTGGGATAGTGTAAGTACACAAGTCAGCAAATATATATATAACACTGTTATAGTGGTTTTTGGATATTTTAATAAAAAAATCTTACATATTGTGCCTTTAATTTTAAGATTTAAAAGTGACGACTTTTTGAGCTGTGCTTTATACATTGCTCCATTATTGACGATAGACAGTAGACCTTTTTGTCGGTGAAATTTCACCAAAATTTCGCTAATGTGACTGCATCTTCATCGGTGCAAGTCAATGGAATGAAAATTGTAGCACTGCACTGCTTTCCAGAAAACTATTTCAATTTTATGCACGTAAGGTACGGTCACATTCATCGAAATTTCATTGGCAAATTCCATGAATTTCAACAGATAACTGCTTTGTTTGAAAGTGACTACTGTGTGAGCTGTGCTTTATACATCGCTACACTATTGACAAAAAGGACCGTTTACGCCAAATTGCGGTAAAACTTTGCGGACAAAAAGGGTCAATTTTCCATTTAAGCGTTGTTGTTTTCTACATGATTAATTGACAGCATGTCACTGATGCTGCCCAATGTATTTACTTGGAATATTTTTTATGGTGCCGATATTAGTGGGTTTGAAACTTGTTAAACCCTTAAATTTACAGAGCGATGCTTTATGGTCCCATTGAAATGTGGTACGCGATGTTAAGAAGGGCGATCGCAATTATCGTTGCTCATCTAGATTTAATTTGCAGTTTATTTTAGTTGATTTATTCGCCGTTTTTTGACAATTTCGCCTGGCGAAATTTACTGTTCAGCTTTTCTTTTTCTTTTTTTTCCCCTTGTTCTCTGTGTGGGCGAAATCCATTCATTTGAATAGGAATCCACTCGATCGGGAATTTCACATGATGGTGATAGCTTTCCCCTCACAGATTTCGCAACCGCTTCAAGCTGTGTGGTTTGAAAGTGACTCCAAATGTGAGCACCATTGACAGTAGACAATGGATGTTCTTTGTCCGCGAAATTTCGCTAATGTGACCGCACCTTTAGAACAGCACCACTACTTGAGCCAGAAGAAATTCGGTGGCTTATGTAGTGGAGTTTGGTAGCATTTCATAACCAAATATCAATATGGAGTGCATTTGAAGAGTAGTTCAAAGTACTGCATTAAACCAGTTGTTGCTTAGTAACCAGTGTGATTTGTTCATTCATAAATACTGTATATCTGAATCATCTATGATGTAAATTGAATTTGTTTATCGGAGTGTTTGGGGGGGAGGGGTGCTTGTTCATTTGAAAGATTTAAGGTTATAATTAAAGTTTGCTCGTTTTTTATGTTATGTGAATATGTCGTCTTTCTGTGGTCTCTGTTTTGTGTGGGAGTGTGTGACGGTGAGCAAGTTGCCCTTTCACTTTTTTGTTCTTTGATAAATGCTGTTTATTCAAATTAGTATCCAATTACCTCTATTTCTATGGTGACGGATGCATACAACGTGACATTCACAAGAAATTAAAAATACTCCCAACCCTGAATATGCAACTATTTTAAGAGGTGACGATTTCATGTTCATATGATGTGAGTTTTACTGAAACATGATTTCTGTATGGAGAAGAAAAAAAAAAGCAAGCATGAAGGTCCGCTAGGCCTGGGCGATAAACCGGTATCGATATTTATCGACGGTACACCCTCTTCGATAACGATTAAAAAAATTCTCGATATAGCGCACGATATAGGCACGTGCTATGAGTGATGCAGACAGCACACACAAACACTAACACATGCTGAAATGAGTGCTGTGCCTGCCTGTGATGAGGAGATTGTGAATAAAAAATAATGAATATTAGTCGAATTTAAAATCAGCATTTGAATGCAAAAATAGTACAATCAAATGTTAGGTGTGCGTCTGGGAGCGTCATTAGTCTGAGATGCGGTGATGATGATGTAAGTGACGTTGTTGCATTTTAATGTTTTGTTAGTCTAGCCCACGAGATGCGCCGCTGCTGCGTTATTCATTCAAAATATTAGAGAAATATAGTAGCTCAATGCGGAGAAGATCTTGATTAGGTTAAAACCGAAACCAAGCCATTCACACAGATGCATATTCAGCGCATTTTTTAGACGGACAAATATGACTGCTGCACTCACGTCTCATAGAAGAAATGTATAGAAAACCATGCAAAGTTAAAACATTCAACTTTTAGAAAACTCGTCACAAATTTGTGGAGGTTTATTCCGTTTCACTGCATCTCGTATGTTTTTCAAGGCAATCTGTGTGATGGGCGATTCGGCTCTTTGTATTAAGCAGTGCATAAATACATGATGCTGTTTTGTTCATAATTGTTTATGCAATTTACGAAATTATGTTTGATTTATTAGAGTTAATTTAGACGTAATGCACGTTTTTCTTTTTATAGACCGTTATTTCCTTTGCGTTGACAATTTAATGTGCTGCAGAATTTTGCTCATTGCGCCCTCCTGTGGCTTCGGGAGACCAGCCAAAAGTTTCCTTCAGACCTATTTAATCTGCATATAAAATATTAGAAATGAGATGTTTAATTTTTATTTTGTGTTTGACTGTTAAAACAAAAAAATATTTGTTGTTTGTCTCAATAAATTGGGTTAATTTAAAAAAATACAGTGGTTAAATTTAAACTTTTTTTTCTATTGCTTTTTGTTTTAAAAAAGGTTATAAAAAATGTCAACAATTATTGATACCGAACGATATGAAACATTATATCGTTGATACATTTTTTTTTAGCTATATCGCCCAGCCCTAAGGTCCACCCCTAAACCTAACTGCATGGGCCTTAAGCAGATTACATCAAAACGCATAAATGAAATTTCATACAAATTAGCCACCAAAATGTGAAATTACTAATTGCTATATGAGAGTGTTGCATACTCCAGCAGCTCAACAGAATCTGATATGGAGCATTAAAGTGCTAACTAGTTAAAAAAAAAAAAGAGAGAGGGTTTTTGGTATTGTTATTATTCAGTAATACAACCTTACATGTAATTAAATAGTATGTTTACTTGTGAAGTATTTCTATATTTTAATTTGAATTACACATTTTAGTTGTTAAATATTTGTCAATAGTTAACATTTTCTCATAATCATAATTTAACTTAATTCTACCATTGCACATTGAAAATAGTTCTTCCATTATAAAGAATGAGTTTGATGACATTATTATTATTGATTTATTTTGCAGTAAATGTAGTCACATGATTTTGTGTAAATCATCAAGACCTATAGAGTGTCAAATTAATGGTGTTAAATGTTAAAACATTTCATCTTCAGTTTACACATTAATTTGTCATTGGCATTTTTATCAATCTCACAAACCATGTGCAGAGATGAAGGAACAAGTTCAAATGCATTACATGATTTTTAATTTACTATATTTACAACATGAATTAAACTGCTTTAAATGTCTATTAATGTATCCATTTTAAAAGTTTTTTTTTTTTTTTTTTTTACATTTTTGTTTAAATTATTAAATTAACTGTTTCCTTAATTCAAATTTAAGTGCCATTCCTTATATGAGGCTGAGGTTATTGGAAAAATAAATTCACAACTTTATATTTTAAAATTGCTGTAAAATTATATAAACCCCAAATTTATATAGATTTACATTATACGTTTTTGGGGGGTTTTTTTTGCGCCTATACCCTCCACTGCCCATCTCACTGAAAATAATTTTCCAAACCCTTACAACAAAATCCTGCAGGACCTGCACACCTGCAATCTCCTCACCTGCAGGTGTCAGAAGGAGGGATTGTATGTCAAGGTGGCGAATAACCGGCATACACGTCAAGCTAAAAAAATTAATTAAAAAGTCCATAAACCTTTTCCCATGTTTTTTTTCCTCCA